TGTTCACAGAAAAAGATATATTTCATAATAATTATAATTCACATATATTGTACCTTCAGGTCCTAGTATTGTTGCTTTCCAGGTTCTATCTAAGAGCAATACATCAATAAGTGTATAGACATATTCTTAACAGCTTACAATTTTCTGAGACTGATTCAGCATGACAACCAACAGGTGGTTCATTCTTTATCTGATCTTCCTCCTGCATGGGATGGAGAGGAGACGATGAACATCCTAAAACTAGTCACACACATTTTATACCTTCTTTAATCTTCTTATGACAGCTGGAATTTTAAAATGATCAGCCATTTTACTTAAACTGAGCTTTCTTTATGCACAATTCAGTAAGAATTTGATAGCATCAGCACACACAGCAACACCATGACTCAGCATATGAATAATATAAATGAATATAATTAGATTACAACAACACCATGCACTATCATCCCGGCTGAATTTCTACTTGAACACTAAATATAAATAGCATCCAAATTGAATATATAAATCATCTTCTTGGTGCTCTGAATCATATGCTGACAGTATCAGACTGCTAACTGCGCACTGAAAGCACTGTGTGTGTGTGTACATTGTCATTTTGTAGCCATTGATGATATATACATATATGTATTTAGAAAATAATTATCACAGAAGCAGCAAATAAAAAAAAAAATAATATGACACATGCATCTAAATATTAAACCAATTCATTTTTTTCATTTTTGTATCAAAACTAATATCTACTTCAATGCTGTAATTCGCATTCCCTAATCTTCTTCAACCTACACAATACAATAAATGAGTAATTACACAATACAAAATACTATATGTACAATTAATGAAAATATTATTAAAAAATTCACTAATAGTACATGTACATGATGGTACATGAGGTTTACTGACCTTGCTCTCTCTGCCTTTCGTATTTCTAATCTCTCTTTATCTGTTAACTTCTTCATTCTCTCTCTATTGTCTCTAAATAATTATAAACAGTAAGAGGTGTATGTAAGTGTGTGTATATACATAATGTGTGTGTGTGTGTTCAGTAGTACTTGTAATATATGACACGTCCATCATCATGTAGTCCTAATAATGAGTATCTGCCTGAAGTGATGGAATACCATTTCAACTTATTCTCAATATCAAGACATGATATCTCAACTGGAAATGATATTCCCTAATAGAATCAGAGAGAGTATTAAAATGTGTATGTTTTAATGACTAACCTCTGTATAAGAGATATACCCAGCAGGAACTCCACTTAACTCTGACAGCTGCAAAGGAATAATAATAATAATAATGATAATGATAATACATACACACCCACTTAATGTCATTGAGTTTCATTTTCAGTTAAAATTATAATTTCAAATGTAAAAATAATATTAAAATTTCATTACAAAAATTCTGTATATCATACTCTATTTGATTTCTACATGTATTGTACAAACAAAGTACCTTTCCAATAACATGCTCAGTATCAGATCTGTTATCAGGACTCCTGCTATTATCCAGTATAATTTCTTCTATTGGATCAACTGAACATTGTGATGGACGCCATCTTATAACATACACCTGTCTCTGTCTATCATGCTTCTTCTTCTCTGGTCCTAATGAAACACATACACTAAAAATATACTGAGATATACTGACCTTTCAATGGTTCCACATACATTTCCTTACTGCTAGTATCAATCCTCTTATCATCAAGATATACTGTACCAGGGTACACTTCACTCTTGTCACGTAATCTCATTCTACACAATAAGTCACATGATAGTCACATGATAGTCACATGATAGTCACATGATGTACTTACTTGTCTAATTCAAGGACACAGTCAATTCCTTGTACTTTTGCTTCTTCAATAATTTGTTTCTTAAATTCTCCCACTGGTGTATCCTCAGCAACAATAGACTCCATCATAAACTTACAAAACTAAAAATTAAAATCAAAGAATAATGTACATGTAATGTGAGTATATAAATACTATATATGTAATAATTCTTACCTCAGTATTATTAACTTGTAATAAATATAATTTAATTATTTTCTCTCCTCTTCCTAATGCTCTACCCAGTCTTACTATCAACTAGTAGATACACAAAGTAATAAAGAGATTAGTGTGTGTGTCAGTGTTATTAGATATAATGGAAAAAAGAAACGCCATCAAATAACACACAAATTACCTCTGATCCAGATCCAATATCTTTTAATGTCTGATTCAGTGCCTCCAGTTCATATTCTCTATTACCAATAATTTCATACATTCTAAAACCAGTAGGTGGTACACCAATCAGTGGAACTAGCTCCTCCTTCAATTGAATTAATGTTATACTCTTATTAACTCGTACCTGTATCCCTGTATTGAATAATAATAATGTTTAATTAATAATACAAGTTATCATTACTTCTTTCTTTTCCTTTATTTTCTTCAATCATTGATATAATTTTCATCATTCTTCTTTCAGTTATTGTGGGCATGGCTTCAGGTCCAGGAGGTATTGTAATGTTCAGTAGTATCATTGAGTTGACATGAAACTCAACATATCTGTACATCAAACTATCTTTGAATTCTTTTTGATAATCTTCAGGATCTGATGAAACATATAGCAACTGAGACAGAGAGAAATTACGTATAAAATAAAAAAGATAAATACAAATAAGTGAAAGTGAAACAACAATTACAAATGTAAAGACTTTTGATTATAGCTACCACAAGGAATATTGGCAGGTTTAAAATCTGTTAGTAGCATGCTCCTATGCTCAATGACATAAACATATACCGTATATCGGGTATATTTCAATGCATTAATAATTTCAGAAAAAGCAATCCATTGCGAGAATAAATATTATGAAATTTTAAAATATGCGGATAAAAAAGAATAGAAGATATGTAGTATTGTGCAGCTATTATGAACACGTGGCTTCATAACTATCCATGGCTACATTCTAGTCTAACTCGAAGGCCATAAAGAGCCTTCTTTGCCAGTTAGAAGTGTTGCTAAGGTTGATTCAGAAGTGGAGAAGTCAGCAAATGCTTCGATTGACTTACCAGGCCAGGTGGTTGATGGAAATAATAGCAAATAAAATATTTTCGGAATATAAGGGCTTCCGAATTTTTCCATCATTGAGCTTTATATTTACACCACTTTTCATGCAATGAAATATACCCGATATACGGTAGTTGCACTTTGTCAATATAAAGTCTACTATGCAAACTGCTAAGTACATGTATGTATTAGTCTGAGTTGTTCAGTTGTACTAACTTTACTTTCTCGAGATTTATAGAGTAACAAACTTTCTTCATCCTTAAGTTCACAAAAATCACTCCAGTTCTCATTCCATGCTATCCTCATGCATGACGGGCTGATATTAAATACCTATAAAGAAGGGAAGGAGAACAATATAAATGACAGTATACATATCTTTCCTCTTAATTACTTCTCCTATATGTTGTTTTAATACTCTAACAGTCCAACCGCTTTCTCCTCTCATTGGTTTAGTTGGTCCTACATGTACTTTACCAGCTGCCAGATCAACCACTGATATCTCTAGATTAATACCTACAGTACATGTACAATAGACATACTGCATGTCATAACAAAAAACTATATCCACCTCCATCATTGTATTTCTTAAAGGTTTCATTTTCTTTACGAGTTTCCAAAAATAAATCATAATAATATTCAGCCACATCCATTAGCTGTCCAATAGTTTGATGCTGAAACTAAATTTCTAATCATAACAAGTGGGATAGATACCACTTAATTACTTCATCAAGATCAAAGGACCGATTCATGGCATGACTATAATCATCATATTCAACTAAACGACATCTCTCAATAGGAATATGAGGAGCTAATTTCATTAACTGATAAAGAGATAAAAAAACAAGAGGAAAGATTAAACTGAAATAACCAACTATAATAACAACAAACCTCATAAGCTTTATCCAGTACACTGGGTAGTAATTCATCTTTATGTACTTCAAGTGTTGACTCTATTAATTCACCAGTAACAGGATGATTACAATATAATTTATACTAAAAACAAAAGTAAGTATGGTACACATGTATAGATAGCATATCTCACTCTTACTTGTTTCATTTCTCTCTGTCTCTTCTCCTCAATCTCTTCCAAATGATCTATTCAAATATCAACAATCAAATGATGACACACACACATCAATAAAACCTTTAATATCTTTTATAATCTTCTCATTGTGTTCTCTCTCAGTAACTAGTTCCATATTCATTAATGTTATTCTTTCTTGTAATTTCTCTATTATTCTTTTATTATCTACAGATGGCTGATAGTCTGGTCTTGTCATTGCTTGAAGATGAAATTTGCAGTCATCAATTTCAAAAGTCATTCCTCTTATTACTCTGCTAGCAGCTTTAGTATACATAGTTATATATAATTAATAAAACTACTCCAACCTGAATCAGTATTACTAGTAAGTGATTTCAAATACTCAATCTTCATTTTTGATAATTTGTTTGGCAAATCTTTTATCTCATTAAACTGAGACCTCAACACAGTCAACTCTTCATAAAGTGGTTCTTCCTATTAATAATTATTATAATTAATACAAACTAGTGAGATACTGTACATGTATACCTCAACTTCTTTAACTGAATCAGTATCACTTTGAATGAACAATGATTCTGCCTAATAATAATATTTAAACCAATCATTTTGTATAAAAAGATTCAATATAATAACTATCAAAACCATAAAATTTAATGTCCAAATGAAAATTCGCAAAACTTGAACTCTCCACAAATTTTTCCTGCTATATAATATAAGCTAACCTCAAGTTCTGTCAATACTTTCATCTTTGATAGTTCTTTTTTCAATTCAATTGCTTCCTATTATAAGAACACAACAAAGCATACATGCATTGCATTACACAGTTTATGATGACATACCTTCTCTTTGCTACTGATAGCATCTCTTAGTTTATATTCAGTTTCTTGAAGTATAATATAAGAAATAACCTGTAACAAAGCCAGTAGTATAACTGATAAAATGTATATTTTAAAACTCAAAATATTTTTATCACGCACCTCTGTGTGTTGTAGTAAGTCTTGATCCTTTTCTTTTAGTTCCTATACAATACAATATTCATAAAACAATATTCAATTATTCATATTATGTACCTTTTGTCTGACATCTTGTCTCCTCCATAATGTCAAGTTACCAATAGTCAGTTTCTTTAATCCTTGTCCCATTAGTATATGAATATTCTCTATCATCCTCAATACAGTAAACCCAACATCAGAGAAAGGAAAGGAGCAAGTGACACATATTGATTTGTGAGGTTCTATATACTCAATCCTCAGTAGTTTACCAGATACTTTAGATAAAACACCCTTGATATCCTGCAACAAATGTTCCTCAGGCTTCCAGTCAAAGATAAAGGTAACGGTTTCATACTTCAGATGAGGAATGGAGCCAAATCTTTTTTCCAGACAAAGACTAACTGAGATTGATTTGTAAAATTCCTTCAACTCTGCTCTATAAGTTTCAATGTGTTCCTTTGCTTCAATGATCTCCATTTCCTCCACTACACTATGAAGGAGAGTAACATCGGTTAGTGAACACTCGTCTTTAACATAATGAAGGATACTAGAAATATCTGAACACTGCTCTACTTTTCTACGAAAGGTAACACTATAATAAGACAGGAATTCCTTGATGTCATCCACATTCAGTTTTCTTTTTAAAATCTTGCAAACATTATAAAACATCCTTGTGTAAGAAGTCTTCATTGATTTAAAATCCCCAAGTAAATGGATTGGAACAGGTATTTCAACTACACATCAAAGTATTAACAATAAATGCATATCATCAAATTAATGCTACCTTGAGGTGATAAAGGTTGTGAAGATGAATTACTAGCAACTGCTCCATCAGAAGGACTAGATGTGACTATGGATTAAAGAATAAATGTATCAATTCATTTTGTTGCTATGTTCATGACATACTATCAGATTGTGCATTAGCTGGTGCCTTGGGTTCATCAGCAGTACTTGTATTATCTATAGATATTAATGAATGTATTATCAATTAATTAATAATTATTACCTGGTGGAACTACATCATGATCTTTAATAGTCTCAGGAACCACACCTACTTCAGGAGTAGGAAAATACTTACCTAAACATACATACAAAGAACAATGTAATTAACAACAAAGCATAATGCAACGACACCATTATTATTGTCAAACTCACTAATATCATCCAGTATAGTTTGTCCCAGTGATACATTAGTACTGATTGTACACAATACATTAGCAAATGTATGTAAACTGTTGGGATCAGTTTGAACAGCTTCTTTGACAGCAGTTAATAGAGCCTCACGTTGATTAGGAATAGAGGGACTAGCTGACACCACTCTACTAACTGCTTCTTGTGTTAACATACGTTCACCATAAAGTAACCAAGCAATAGCAGTACAATCACAAAGAGACTGAGACAGGACAGTATGACGATTAATAAAAATATTAATAAGAACCTGATGTTCTATGATAGAAAATACAGTGATTATAGTTACATACAGTTATGGTTGACTCACTTAACTTCTCAGCTACAGCAGTTTCATTCATAGATCCTAGAGCATCTGACAGTGAGTCCAAGTTGGCTCCTCCTCTACTGTCAACATTATCAGCTCTACCTAACCATTGGGAGAGGCACTCTGTCATACAGCGAGATGCATCATGAGGATGATTCTTTTCTATGACGTCCAGTGAACTCTTCAGTAGTCCTAGTGTCAGTCCAAGGTCATACCAATTTGCTTTAGGGAAGTCACATTTCTTCAACAACTCAAGAACATAAATTAAATCACCTAAAAATATTACAAATTCAAAATGATATACAGTATCAAAAGTACCTAAACTTAAACAAGTTTGACCAGTGGCCATAATGGACCTGAGACTATAAATGGACCTAGCTCACTGGTGGGTGGGGCTAGAAGCCTGGAATGCAAATTGCTCACGTGATGTTTGCTGACATTGCTGTTTAAATTTAGCTTCAAGAAGAAAATATGCTATAAAATTAGTGAAAAAAGACACAAAGACTTACATTTACCTTAAAGCTAGCCTTGTCTGAATCCTCAATCCACAATCAGTTCTTGTTAGTCGCCATTGTTTATAGGCGTGGTTGTATAGGCGTGGCTTAGAGAGGGCAAAACTGGTCTAACCTGTTAGGGTAACGTGACATACCAGACACGTGCTGTCTTCGTGCCAAAC